AACTGTAGAAACATATTTTATGCTTATTTTTAGGATATTTTTACTATTTAATCGCTAATTTTAATGACAAACCTTTCCAAGACCTTTGGAAAAATTTTGTTGTTCATGCCTGGATGCTCTAATTCTTTATTCACTCATCAGCCCTTATCGCATTTACGCCCACTGTACGAGAGCTCAGCGGACTTTGAAGTTTCGAAACGAGGCTATCGGGTCACACAGGTAAAACTTTCAAGTAAAATCGAAGCAAACGGCTACGTTTGGAGGCATTTTTATTCATTTTCTTAAGGATACAGCGTGTTCTCGTCATGGTTAGACATTGTATTGCGTACGGGTGCAACAGTCTATTCAGTGAATCGGCAACTGACGAGATCCACAAGATTAGGATCGAAACCGCGGTCTTGCCAAACACGTTCAACTATCAAACTAGAGGCGAACAAAACGCACATAAAAAACCTCTCAAATAAAGAACTTACAAACGACCAGATTAATTTACTGGCAAAAGGGCTTAAATTCATTCCAACACCCGCTACAAAACAAAAACAGATCAGACAACAACTATTGTGTGACTTTGATCAGTTCGCAAGGAGAATGCGTCTGATTTACATATTCCGAGGGGAGGACAAAAAACCCATCCCTGGCACGTCAAATCTACATGGATACCACCAATACAAAAATCAGTAGCCCTTGAAAGCTATTCAGAAGAAGTTAAAAGTGACCTTTCAGAAATAGAAATTACAAAACCAAAAGATAATTTGCTTCCGGCCGAACGCAAGGCACTGAGGGCCTCGAAACGTGACTTGAGTTAAACCTCGAAAAGGCCGAAAAAAGAACAACAACCGTAGTCATGAACAAAAGCGACAAAATTTTGCCGTTCCTTTCTTAAATGACAGCCATTCTTTCAATCTTCCTTTCGTGATGCTAGGACAATTACCACTAAGAATTTTCACCCTTTCCTCCGCAGAAAAACGCAGATTCCGGAGACATAGAGTGTTTCAGGTGTTTCTCGAGAAACGTTGACCCGATAGCCTCGTCCTGAAACTGTAACTCCGTGGAACCTTTGCATTGCAAACACAAATGCGATAAAGGCTATTTGACCCGCACACGTCAATGGTGAGTGACAAATGAGCCTAGGTCTTCCCAGGGAAGACTTCCTTATATAGCGCGCCATGGTGTTTAAGGCTCACAGTTTCAGAGCATCCCTTTTTTGGTTTGCAATGCCACCGTTGCTCTGCCGTGAAAGCAAATGGCGAAAAAATCCTACCGAAAGTCACATTCAAAGGTGTTCGACAGCTGTATATCAAAACGCCACAAAAGAGGTCGAATGGATGATCCTCCACATTGCTTATTCAGCTTTGCCATTGTTAACGCGGGATCCACAGTAATTGGCTAAGCTGTAGCGGTCTACATGCCCGAGACAATTAGGCGAAGCCAAATAAATAAATAAACGTGCTGTCAAGAATGCATGCAAATTTCCGTTTGTTTGCTTTTCTATGAAAGTTGATAAGTGTTATAAAAGCAGTATTCCTTTTTAATTCATAAGAATAATGGACTAAAATCTACGCAATCTTCGCCACACCTTACACCAAAAAGTTCTGCTCGTGTGGGATTCGTTTCGTGGTCATTTCACGGAAGCCGTATAATAAGTCTCGTGACTTTTTTTAAATATACAGGTGTACCAGTACTCTTCTTGTCCATTGTTAGACATCGAAAAGTCGAAAATGTCCATGGAAAGCATTGCAGAGACAGAAGACTTCTATAGAGTGCCTTGTAGACGTGACTATTTTCGGAAGTAAACTTTCATTTAGTCTACCTTAAAATTTTAACCGTTTGTAATATTATTGCAAAAAAATTTTGTTGCAAAATGCATCAACCTCTCGAGCTTCTTGTAACATGCATTTTTTATCCTATGCCATTGTAGGGAGGGTAACCATTAAGACGAACATCCCATCATACTTTATGTTAGGAGAAGCTTGTGCGAATATCTTGAAGCTCAGTTTTGTCAATAAAGACAACAAAAAAGTAATAAAATGTTTTCGTAAACTTTAAAATATCACTCAGACTATAGTTCATACATAACTAGAGGAAAATCTTACCTTGTTCTTCTTCTATTAGGGAAGCCAAACGGTGAGAACGAAGCAGTAGAATACAAAGGGCATTCGAAAACGTTCCTTATAATTACAGCGAACAGCTGTCTGCTCGTGGACATTGAGCAAAAGTGTGTTTTTCACTTTAAGGAGAACAACGGACAAAATGAGACCGATGAAGTTTCATCTGCGCTCAAAGAGGCCGCCTTCTTAGTATGATAATGAGGTTCTCAGTAGTTGTCAGGACAGAAGTAGATCCTCGAGATCTAGTTGGTTGGTCAAACTTGATCATGTTATACATAATGCATATTTATCGCTATAAATCAGTTCAATTCGTAGAGGAAAATGTTTTTTTTTAATGTGTTTATCAATTCCGGCTCAACTATATCCGCAGGGTTGTTATGGATAGGTTCCAGCTGTTCGAAGGCTGTTTATCAACGATTTATACACACTCCTCGTCCGCCCACACTTAATCGACTGTCAACCGTTTTAACAAAACGTGTTAATATCCAAAAATGTTCGGTACGAGATTGTGAAAAATTTTATCGGTTTGAACTGGATATTTTTTTTAAAAAGGATTTTAGTTATTTCGTCAGGCCAGTTTCTCACATGGTTAAGTCTCAGCCATTGATAACTTACGCTCTCCTCTCGCTTTTATTCAGCTTATCAGTTTGATGAACAAGGAAAGTTGACAGTAAATGGAAATTTTTCATTAAAAGCATTCATTATTTCTGCTGGAAATTGTCAACAAGTCAATTGTTTTCACAAGTGCCATATCTACAAGGATGAATTCTTACATAGCAACCCACAACAATTTCAACGAATATTACGGTATGCTTTTGTTGTCTTCCGCTGAAGTTAATATCAGAAAAGGAGACACTTCTCATGAGTGTCTAATATCTTTTAAAATTTTTGCGTAAATTATTTTAATACCTCCTGATTGCTCTGTGTTTTGCACTTCGCCGACAGATGTTTTTTAAACAAGCATTTTTTGTTTATTTAAGATAAAGTATTTTTTTTGTTTACCTAAGATATCATGGGCTGTCAAGATTAGTTCGTATATGTGAGTTAGATTAAGAAAGCGGCAGTAGGGAATCCGAGATCAGGTTGAAAGGACTGCGATTCATTTGAAAAGTGTGTTTTCTGCCTTTGTGCAAGGACTAGAAAAGATCGCGTCTTAAGTGAGATAACGCCTTACAGAATTGTGTGTATATCAACATTGTACGCTTTCTGGAAATCTTTTTTTGTCGCTTTTGATTTTGTTAGATCCAATATAGGCGATCCTCACGTCTATTTTTTGCTTTTTGTTGACTAGCTAGCTCGTGTGCGCGAGAAAACTTGCTAAAAAAACTAGTTAAAAAAATTGTTAGATCCCGAGGACTTTATTTTCCTGGTGAATATCTTCTAAACCAGTGGTACCCGAATCCGTGGTGCGAAGCACTCTGTCCAATCAGAAACTGTGTTGGAAATCATCGAACCATTCGCATCGCTTTTTACAGCCGTACTGAAGAATGTCCTGTTCTACAAGGCTAATCACTGATTTATCATCCCCAAAGAATTCATGCCCATACAAATTTCGATTACCCCGCAAAAACCTTTAGTCAAGGGTGGTTTTCGTACGCTGTAAAAAAAAATTAAAGACGAGTAAAAACGATAAGTAAATTTGGAGATTCTCGAAATTTCCCGTATGATATAAATTTATAATTCATACGTTCTTTCACGAATTAACCTTGCTCTCAGTTGATTTGACTTTGTGAGGTAGGTTTTTAAATAAGAAGAAAATACTGTGAGCTAGATGTCATTTGTTAATTTTTACTCGAAGTTGCTTTGAAACCTTCACTATGGACCGACAAAATAGGAAAAGTGGTCGCTTTTTTTCTGTAATCGACTCATAGGAACAGTTATTTTGGCATTTCTAATTAATCCACTGGCACAGAATGTTTTCAAGACCTATCTAGCTGTTAGTAAGCACAAACGTTCTTTCTAACTACATGACAGTTACAGCGTTTTACTCCACATAAAGTGGAGGAGCACGAGAATCTCTTAGAACGCTAATCTAGATGTTTTAACACCTAACATCTGTCAAAACAGAATAACAAAAATATAACTAGTAAATAAAGTTTTGTGTAAACTTGAATGTGCCACCACCTACAGTCAGTGCCATGTGCAGCAAAATTTTGCGGGCCCAAAGGACAAAAAAAAAAAAAAAATTGAAGAAACGGGGTCACGCTGACTGTCTAGCTAATTATTGAAAATCTATTTTGGTTTTGAGCTGATCAAGAAAACAAATTGACTGCATAATGAACCTTTACATTCTTAAGTATGTATTCATTGAAATTAGAAGCATAAATCATGAAGAGCTGACAAGACAACTACATCTGTACAAAACCTCTAAGTATTTAGTCCTTATTTCCCGTATGTTCTTTTCTGACCAATCATTCTTGTCAGTTGAATTGTTTCTACCATATACTATGCTGTAAGCGAGATTAATGGTAACGAAAGGGTTTCTTCAACACAGAGCTTTCAAAGTGCCATGGCACTGCAACAGGTACTCAACATTTGGCGTGTAGCTATAGGGAGGCGCACCGTGAGGGATTCTGTCCCCCTTTTTTATTTTAAGTACTGAATGTTTGTGTTCTTTGGTATCTTATCACTACATAAAATTGTGGAGAAGCCACTTTGCTTTGAAGTGTAACGGGTTCTTGCGTTGATCTTAGAATTTCTGCAATCAGATAAGCAACTTTGTCTATAGCTAAAAAAGTTTTAAATACGTCTCACGCACTAAACCTCGATTAAAACGATTATAAGAAGGAGTTGTTTCCACTGACCTTGAGAGATGAATACAGAACTGTATGAAGATTGAAACTCATCGTTAATTACTCCGTAAAGAGCCGGAGAAAGGAGAAAATCACAGCTTTTGCTGTCGATAAATTTCTTATGTACTAAATATTGACAAACTCACCTGCTTTAACACTTTCTACGGTAACCAGCCACATTTTACATAATGTAACCAGGCACAAAAATATACTATTCTTGGTCTAAATGATGTATTTTATGATGCGTGCATTCCTGGGCTCTACCTTTTTGAAACAAGATTAAGAAAAGTAGGTCTATAAAAATACCAAGTCAGTGCACTTCAAGAAGCAAAGGGTCTTCAATCAAAGTTGCTTTGATAGCAGATACTTTAAAAACGGTCCTTTTTTTTATATTCGTGCCAGATAGGGATTAGCCATTTTTCCTCTCGCACTTGAAGAAACTTAAGACTTAAGAAAAACAATTTCGAACTTAAAATATCATAAGGAACGCCACGAATCGACGGTCAGCAATCTTCGTTTTGATAAAAAAAATAACTGTGTATGATTTTCCAAAAAAAATTGTCTAGGAATAGCAATAAATGTGTGTTTATATGTATGTAAAGTGAAATTGTGCCCCAAGCTAACTTAGACTACTTCCTTTCTGAAAAGGCTCCACATTCCTCGATTTAGGTTTGTGAAAGTTGAGGCACACGATCAACTCCATCTTAGGCCTAGTTTCTTCAAGCACCAAGTTTTAATTCATACAACGCGTTTAAGCTCAGTTGAATTCAATACGACTTTCCACTTTTTTTAGATACAAAAGTCTGCCAGCGGTCAGGGCATATCCATCACGCGGGATCGAAAACTCGAAGACGTGCATCGACAGCGTTGTAGAGACGTGATTATTCATTGTGGAGTAGACTTTCGCTTCGATTAGGTAAACTCTAAAATAATACTCAGACTGTAAATTAAGGAAGCCAAAACGGTGACAACAAAGCAGTTGAATACAAAGAGCTTGTTCTCAGAAAACGCCTTTTTACTTAGTTTATCCTTATATCGTCTACTGTAACTCCACCGGTCGTCCACATACGTATCTAACTCAAATACAATTTATTATTTACAAAAGCGAGCTGTGCGGGCTATCACCAACTCAGACTATCGAGCCAATTCTGCTCCTTTATTCTCCTAGCTAGGAATTTTAGATATTTTCCTGGTCAATACGTTTGAAATCCTTTCGGAAGAGACCTCGACGAAGCAGATATTTGAACAAACACTGAGTTTAATAACAGTTAAGTTTTGTTTTTTTACGTTGTCAAACTACAAAGGAAAGAAAATATATACGTTACAATGTTTTACAGATACAACTAACTACAGGAATTACGAAATTTACGATAAAATAACTAAAACTACTGACAATTCTGGCTGCCTTCTCTTCTGACTTTTTGAAGCGAGGCACGTATCTATTTATCCTTTTACAAGAATATGCGTGTTACGTAATACGTGTATCTTTTAACACGTATTTATTAACCCTTTAACAAAGTCCCAACTTTTACATATTTTTATGTAAAATATGTGCATTATGCAAAGCAATTTCAAAAATAACTTATTGCCCCCATTGCTTCTCAATCTTTTTGTAAGGAATAGCCAAATTCACAACTATGGTACCAGAACAGTCAGTAATTATCGAACGCATTTGTGCCGCACAAATGTCAAGCAATTAACAATTCTCTACCAAGGTCGGTCCTAACATTTGGAACTCTCTCCCGATTTCAATCACTCGTTCGTCAAACTTTTTCAGCTTTAAGACGAAATTGCAAGAGTTTTTACTTAAAATAATCGCTGAATTGGCCAAGCCGCACATTCGCAGCACTTTTTCTTTACTTAATTTATTATTGTAAGTGAGGTGGCTCTCTCATAAGCCCGGTGGCTTCTTGGGTCTCCTCGCCTTCTAACTGTTATCGCTGTAATTAAATATTTTTATTGTTAAAATAAGGCTAATAAAAGATGATGATGATGATGATGATGAACTGTAGTTTTCAAAATGTTAAGACTTAATCAAAGTTTGAGAAAGTACTATTCTGTCAACATATAAAAACTGACAGCTCCATTTTGTAACTTCTACATGTACTATAAATAAAAACTCGTTTTCTAAGTTTTCATGCATTTACAAGAACATAACACTTTGAATATGTTAAATTTAATTTCTAGTATTTATCAGGAGCAAACTCGTTTTCTTTATGTCAATTGCAGCGTTCTCCTCAGGTTTAGTGAAAGAGCGCGAGAAGCTCCTGAAAACGTATTCTACATTGACAGAAAAATAACAATCTAACAAGTAAAATAAATGTTTGTGTTAACTTGAAGGTGCCATCACCTTGGCCTAGATAACTACTCTTGTATCCTGCATTACGGAAAAGGAACCAGAGCTGGAATG